AGAACAAGGGAGGTGATTGCTACTCATCACTGGAGGATAGGGCTGCATCCAAGAAAGATCTGCAAGGTGCAGTGAGTCCCGCAGAGGGAATGAAAACCACACCACAGAGAGGATCTGGCTGTAGCCAGAAGGGAAGCGCTGCTGAGAATGTCTGCTGACTGCCCGTCTCTGAGGGGATGTGGAGAATAAGGAAGGAGCAGGCATGGTCCACGGGGCCCCGTGCAGGTAGAAGAGCCCCGGGCGGGGATGGAGAGGAAGCCGGGGTCAGTCAGAGCTGGACCAGGCTGGACTTGGCTGACCCCAGGGCACAGCCTGCCAAGTCCCTCCGTGCACTCACTCAGAGCTTGGAGGCAGATTCAGAAGCTCTGAGCAGAGTGGCAGGGCCTGGAGCGCCATGCTGACTGGCAGAGTGAGTCCGTCAGCACTGTCAGCCCATCCCTGACACTTACCCGGTGTCACTGGGCTGACGTCACTCTGACAACGGGTCGGACACACTTGTTTAAACAGCAGACATCCTGAGCCCGCTGTACTTTGTTAAACATCAGACACCTTCGGTTAAATGTCAGACACCCTGGATGTGAAACCTTTGGTTAAATATCACAAGTCACTTGCCACTGTCCCAGTGGCCCTGGTCACACACTGTCCATCTATCTCTCAGACAGCCTGGTCATGTGGCCTGTCCATACGTGTCCTCGTGCTCTCCTGGGGCAGGTCCCTGACCCCCAGAGGCTGGCTCTTCCTCCTGTGCCTGTGGAGGGTACGGATGGGCACTGTCCAAGTTGCAGGGGGCAGCCCCACGGCCCCTCAACCCTAAGAACCACTTGGGCCTGAGCAGGACAGATCCTGAGGCCACTCCTCCTGTGGAGACCTGGAGCCTTGGGGAAACTGAGGGTCTTGGGTGAGACTGGGATGGACTCATGGGAGAGGGGCTGGTGCATCCCTAGGACCCTCCATCTGCTTTTTTCTCTTCCTGTGTCGGCCATGGCCTGTGAGTAGTCGAAGAGCTGAATGTTCGGGCAACCATCTGTCTCATCCTCCAAAGCATCATCTCGGAAACTCTTCTCTGAGTGTGCAGGTTGCCTCCCTCTCCCGACTTCAGAGACTCCTGAACCACTCCTGGCACAGAGATCTGTGGTTGGAAGAAGTGAGTAGGGTGTCCTCGAAGACCCAGCCACGCCTCCATGGTCTCAGCCAGGGCTTCAGGATCGCATGGATCAGAGCAGCCAGGCATGAACTGATGACCCTGCAGAAGATGCAGAGCGAAACTAGGAGCAGAAATCCACTTGTTTCCTGTGTCACCTGGCCTCGCCTGGTCTCCTGGAAAACAGTTTCCTCCTCAGCTGTGTCCCCAGTCTCAGAGCCCACTACATGGTTGCGTGTCATGGTCCCCAGTGGCATGGAGGTTGTGGCAGAGTAGTTGCCTCCTGGCGCTGGTCATTCATAAGACTGTCACCGAGAGAGCCACCTGGGAGCTTGCTCTGTGGCCATCCTGCTGGCAGCCTTGCTGAGGCCCCCATGTCAGGAGGGATGAGCTTAGGAAGAAGACCTGGGGGAGGGCCCAGGTCCTGCACAGCCCTCCCCGCGGGAGGGGGAGGAGGGAGAGGGGCTGGTCGGGGAGGGCGGGCTGAGGTGCTGCTTTGTAATTCCCGATAACTGGTTTGATTCTGCAGGTATGTATCAGAAAATATAAAACTAGGCAATTTGTCGGCTCTTCGAACTTTCAGAGTCCTGAGAGCTCTAAAAACTATTTCAGTTATCCCAGGTAAGATGCCCGGGTTTGCCTGTCAGATCTCAGCTACAAGTGACTCTCTCTCTGTCTCCCCCACCCCCCCTCCTCTGGCCGTGTGTCCTGCTGGCGTGTTGTCACTGTCTCGTGTGTAAATTTCCCTTGTTACAGATACACCACTGAATTTGTGGACCTGGGCAATGTCTCAGCTTTACGTACCTTCCGAGTCCTCCGGGCCCTGAAAACTATATCAGTCATTTCAGGTGAAAATCAGGTTAAACGCCAAGGCTGGAGGGACACGCTTGGGCCTTTCCAGCCACCTGGGAGCCAAGGCAACCCTTGGGAAGGCCCCTTCCAATATGTCTGTCACCAGAGTACCTTTTCCAGAGCTCGGGTGTGGGCGCTGTCGGCAGTGGGCATGGCTGTCCCCTCAGTGCCGCAGAATGGGCCTCCCCAGCAAAGCCCCCATCATAGACACTGGTGGGGCACAGAGTACCCCATGGATGGTCCTGAATTGAACCCAAATTCTTCCCAAGATAGATTTCTTTCCCAAACTGAACTATTTGGATAGCTAAAAGCTCAAATGTGAATGGCTTCAGCCTTGAAGCAGCATCCTCTAGTGAGGAAACCAAAAGAACTGTTTTTGAGGGAAAACACACACACACTCAGAACAAAGAAGAACAGCTCGGTCACGGCCTTTCATGGCTGAGTGCCCAGTCCCTGCCTCGTGCCTCGTCTGGTGCTACACGCACAGCCGGCACCCCAGCCCCATTCTGTGAAACGGAGCATACTCTGTGGACAGGTGTGACCAGCCTTGGCGTCTAACAGCCCTCGCTGCATGTGCGGTAGAAGTTTAGCAAACCGTGCATGGTAGCCTCGGGATGAAATTCTCCTTGACAGGTGTTGGCAATTGTCAGCGGGAACCCTTCTAAGCCCAGACAGCCTCTCTAGAAAGCCAGTCTACCCTGTCCATCCAGGAAAGCTCTCACAGACTTCTGACGATGTCACAGGCCAGTGCCCAGAGGCTCCTTCCAGAAATTTTTTTGAATGTATCCGCATTCAGAACTGGAGAAGGCACCCTTTTAAGAAGGCGGCTGGGAACAGCTTACATGCTCCCGATCTGGAGAGGTGTCGGAGCTGAAGCAAGAATTAGGTGAACCAGACTGTTGTACCCACTCCTGATTTGGAAGCTGGGGGAGCATGGGCCCTGGGTCTGTGTTTGGCCCAGATCCCTGCTAAAAGCCCATAGCAGGTGGGGCAATCTGTTCCAGCTCCCATGGAGCCACCCCCGCTGAGAAAGATGTCATTGCCTTTGTGCACACACACACTCACACACCTCGGGGTCTGTCCTCGAGGGTCCTCGGGACTTCGCAGCGCACACCCCGCAAGGGTAGATAAGCACGCTGGCTGTAGTGTTTAAGAAAAGGCATGTTCCAGTTTGTGTTATAAGAAAGGCTTACAAAGGAAAATATTTTTCAGTCCAGGGTTAGAGGGAGCCCACCGACCCCAAGCCAGCCACATTGCATCTCTTCAAAGCTGCCAGCAACCAAGTGAGGAAGCAGGCAGCACCTTCTGAAAGTGGTCATTAGGAAAATGGTATGGTCGGCATCAAGGAGGACCCCCTGGAGGAGGTGTCCTGAGCTGAGGCTTAATAGCCGTGGCCCTCTCCAGATCTCAGTCTCCTTTGCTTTAAAATGGGAATTAATTGGAGTAGGGTCTCCGAGGGCTCTTCTCCAAACCTGTTAGAACTTCAGTGGCAGGAGAATTTCCCACTTGATCCCCCAGGACCCGTCTCTTCCTGGGTCTTTCCAGAAAGAATCCCTTTACTTGGTTGGAGCCATTCTTGCCAGAAGTAGATTCTCATCAACATGAGACGTGGTTAGAGTGGGTCACCAACCGACTATCCCCAAAGACACTATCTCCACAAACCAGGAGGTGCTTTGCAGGGCCTTGAACTGGATGCTTTAGGCCGAAGATACTTTGGAGGCAGAATCCAGTTTGGGGATGTAAGCTACTGCCCACTTCCCATCACTTTGACCAACCCCCCCACACACACACACTGTGGGCAGGGTCTCCAGGTGTGGCAAGCAGAACCAGAGTGCCCACCAGGGGTCAGAGGAGCTCTGCTAAGGAGGAGGCATAGATCTGGACCACTGAGGGCTCGTGATCCCACCACCTTCACCCCCACCGCCATCTGGGCCCCCACCACTGCAAGGTCCACCCATGGCCCAGGCAATTGCCGACATCTGCCAGGATGATTTCACAAAAACGCTGGGTGCCTCTGAGCCCCGGGCAGGCAGCAGCGTTAGCGGCACTGTGGGGAGGAATTCCTCTCCCCTCTCCCGTGTCTGCCCATCGCTGTCTACTTGTCTCTGAGTCGTGGGCACAGCCGCACGGGTGCTCCTAACACATTAACCGGCTGGACAGATGGATGGAGCTTAATCTGAGATCTGGCCGCTTTGATGGGGGCGGGGGTGGATAGGAGGGGCGGGGCGGGGGTCCTTGCTGCTGGCAGAGAAGCCCCCTTGCTCCCAATGCTCTGCTCGAACTTGTGAACTTGTTGTAGGATGGTAGCCAAGTGTCAGACCGAAGGCGTCTACACATGCTTTTCTGTGTGGTGCTGGCTTCTGCAGGGAGCTGGGCCATGCAACTAACAGATCACGGCCTCTCAGCTTTGGGGAATGGGATGGACAGTGGATGGGGCCCAGGGGACAGGGCAGAGGAGGAAAGTGCAAAACACATCAGCCCCTCCCCTGCCCCTGAGCCTTTCCCAAAAGCAGGCTGGAGCCAGAAAAGGCCCCTTAAGACAATACCCACCTCCCTGCACCCAACCTCCCCAGCTCACTCACTCTTTCCCTCTACCAAGAATGGCGGTGTCTCTCCCCATCTCAGGATCAGGGCCAAGGCTCTCCATTGCCCTGGAACAGGCCTGGCCCTCTGTCTCCCTTCCAGGAGTTACATTTAAAGGGCAGGCCAGCATACCTTGGGACCAGCCAGAGGCGGACAGGCTTTGAGTGTTTTCTTCAAGGAAACTGCATTGCCCACACTCATTTCATTTATTTGGCTAGTGGGGAGGAAAGAGAAGTAGGTCCCTCTGAAAATACACAACCAGACTAGACTCTTGGCCCAAAGGATTCAGGACAGAATCTTAGCAGCAGAGGAAAGGAGGTTTGGGGTCTGAAAAGCCTGAGAGAGGCCTCTTTCCCCTGCCCCACCTCATGGCTGCCCACCCGGCCCAGCACCCCTCAGGCCTGGCCCCTGCCCAGTGGAGCGGGGACCACAGTGCCGTGGGTGACCCCTGCTCCTTCTCGCCTCCCACAGGCCTGAAGACCATTGTGGGGGCCCTGATCCAGTCTGTGAAGAAGCTGGCCGATGTGATGGTCCTCACGGTCTTCTGCCTGAGCGTCTTCGCCCTCATCGGCCTGCAGCTCTTCATGGGCAACCTGAGGCACAAGTGCGTGCGCAACTTCACGATGCTCAATGGTACCAACGGCTCCGTGGAGGCTGACGGCCTGGTCTGGGAATCGCTGGACCTCTACCTCAACAACCCAGGTGCCCGCTGGCTCAGTGGCCCAGGCAGAAATTTGTGGGGCCCCCAAGGCTGGACATCTCCTACACAGGCCTCCTTCCGGGGACGTCCAAGCCCTCCCTGCTCCCCCAGAGCAGCAGATCCCCAAGGATCCAGCCCCTGCCCTTTGGGGCTCTAAGAGGACAGGGAAGAGCAGCCTTAGTGCCTGCCTCCTGAGGTCTCAGGCCGGGTGGGGAGATGACGCTTGAAGAATGGGATGGATGGAGTTGGGTGGAGAGACAGACAGGTAGCAGTGTTCCTTGTTAGGATGTTAAGTCTATACACGGGCGCCCCAGGGCAAGCTCGGTGGCTGTGCAAAGCCACGTGAGCCCCTTGAGTTGGTTCACCGCCCCGTGGGCTGTGCTTCCGTTCTCAGGCTGATGGCAAGCACCTCCCTTGACTAGAGCCAGCAGTCTGGACCAAAAGCAGGTGCTGGCACAAGGCCAGATTCCAGGCCACCGTGAACCACTCTGAAATGAGGGCCTCTTATATACCCCGGCAGTCCACTTTGGGAAAAAGAAATAGGTGGAAACTCAGTGCATAAATGTGCTTATGATTCAGCCGTGGCCATGAGCAGTTGTAAAACTTCAGTGTGTACCAGAGTCACCTGGAGGGCTCCGGAAAACACAGACTGCTGGGCCCCAGGCCTGGAGTTCTGAGTCAGTAGATCTGGGAAGTTACCATTCTAACCAGTTCTCAATTGATGCTTCGTGCTGCTGGGCTGGGGACCACCCTTGGAGAACTGCCTAAGACTAAGGCAGGTCGTGGTGAGTGATGGGGGCTGATGGATGGTCACAGAGTGGAGGCAACAGGACTGGTGTCCCCTGTCTCACCTGGTGCAGCACCAGCCCCGTCTGAACAGACCCCTCCTAGTTCAGGGCTTCTCTTGGTCCAGGTTGGCTCCCTGAGTGATTGGGGCAGGGTGCAGAAGCTCCCCGTGGGGACACTGGCAGCGGAACGTCTGAGGAGGAGCAAGAGGAAGGCAAGGCCAGGGAAGCAGCCTACGTTGCCTCAGACCTGGCCAGGCAGAGGGTAGAGGGCAGGGCAGGGGCAGAGAAGGAGAGGGAAGACCCCCAGCGGTGTCTGCCTTCCCAAAGCCCTGGGTGCAGGTTGGAAACCCCGGTAGTCTGGGCCACACCTGCCCCTCACCGTTGAATGCTTCTCTTCCAGAAAATTACCTGTTGAAGAACGGCACCTCTGATGTGTTACTGTGTGGGAACAGCTCTGACGCGGGGTATGTGGCACCCAGCCCCCAGGGCCACCTCACCCAGCCGGTGGGGGCTTCCCGTGCTTCCTCAACTAACTGTACTTTCAGTATATGCCCTTGACCCCAGGGACAGCAGGTCCTTTCCCCACCTCCCTTCGCTGCCACAGGGAGACAGCTGGGAAGGGGCAAAAAAAAAAGAGGGGGGATGGGGGCTCAGATCTGCAAGGAGGGTGAACAGAGTCCTGGAGAAGGGACTAGACTTGGGGGGACAGCTCAAGAAGCCCTGCAGGGCCCCCCAGCAGCCCAACTCTGGCTCCATTTCCCTTTCTGAAGTCCCCCCAGGGTAGCTCCCTCCCTCTCCAGTCTTCACTTCCTCCCTCCTGATCCTCCATCAGGTCAAGAGTGTGGCCTCCCCTAGCAGCCTTGACTTGCAGCCTGAGTGTGGTACCCAGAGATGCCCAGTAAGCCATGCACAACTTTCAGGGCCCTGTGCACACCGCCGCCTGGGTCAGTGTGACTGTGCCAAAGATTGTTGGGGGCCAGGAGGTCTCACAGGCTCACCTGGTGGGGGAGGTGCTGCATGGTGCTGTAGTCCCACATCTCTGAATATGAAGTTCCAGAGCGCTTCCTGTCCCTAAAGAGAAGGTCTTAACTTAGGATGTTAGCAAGGCACAGAGGCCCCTTGGCTGCATCCTCCCATCTGCCAGCTTCCCTTTGCCCCATCCTCTCTCTCATCCATTCACTGCACTCATGAATCCAGCCTAGCGCTCCCTCTATGGGAGAGGGACTGTCCCCTCCAGACGTGGCCAGGCCCCAGCCCATCCACCCTGGAATCATCCTGCAGCCCCGTGGCTTGCCTTTGCCCTGGGCTCCATCCTGTTTAGCTCAGCCTCACCATTCCACCTGTGTGCCTGCACTGTGCCCCACTCCCCTGAGGTAGGCAGGCAGGGAAAGAGACCTGAGCCAGGCCCTTGGCACTTCCTTTGTGAGGGGAGAGGCAACTTGGACAGCAGCTGGGATGGCATCTCACATGGGCAGAAGGGAGCTGGATTTAGGCCTGGCAGCATACAGATGCACAGAGAAAAGGGGAAGATGGTGACCCACATGGGAGGCACAGCATGAAAAGTTCTAGAGGCAGGACATGGCAGAGTGGCACCCGGTTCATGAGGCTAGAGTCTCAGGGGCGGAGGACCTCTTACAGCATGAGACAGTCAGTGTGTCTGGCCGCAGGACATGTCCCGATGGCTACCGGTGCCTAAAGGCAGGTGAGAACCCTGACCACGGCTACACCAGCTTCGACTCCTTCGCGTGGGCCTTCCTCGCACTCTTTCGACTGATGACACAGGACTGCTGGGAGCGCCTCTACCAGCAGGTGTGTGGATGCACAGGGCCAGCAGAGAGCTGCTAGGAACAGGCTCAGGGTCCAGCATCAGGGGCCCAGGCTGCACAAGGACAGCAACCTTTCCAATGGCCAGAACAGAGGAGGGGCAGGGGACGGGGGACATCTGAGGGATGAGGGCTCAGCAAGCAAAGAAACCTTCCTTTCGCTGGTGGCCAGGTACCCAGCCCTCTATGTAGGATACTCTGTGCTCTGTGAGTGGGACACTTGTCCACCCTACATGATGCAACATTTCCTCTACTAGCCGGAATGTTCTGCCTCCTCCCATGGGTGGAGCACTGCCCCTGTCTGTAGGTCACTCTCTTCTATAGATGGGATATGCCCTACCCTCTCCCTAGGCTGTGGCCATTTGAACGCCTGGCACAGCCAGGCTGGGTAACTTGAAATTCATGACCTTGAACCAGAAGGGGGCCCCAGTGAAGATGGCCTCTGCCCCCTTGCTCCTCCAGACCCTGAGGTCCGCAGGGAAGATCTACATGATCTTCTTCATGCTTGTCATCTTCCTGGGCTCCTTTTACCTGGTGAACTTGATCCTGGCTGTGGTCGCCATGGCCTACGAGGAGCAAAACCAAGCCACCATTGCTGAGACGGAGGAGAAGCAAAAGCGATTCCAGGAAGCCATGGAGATGCTCAAGAAAGAGCATGAGGTGAGTGAGTAACGCAGCCAAGGAAGCTCCAGACCAAGCCTTCCCCTGATGGTAGATTCCTATAAGCATAGTGCCTGCTGGGTGAAGCTGGTGTCTGGAGGTGTGATGCATGCTGGGTAAAGCTGGTGCCTGTTAGATAACACTGGTGTCCAGAAGTGTGATGCGTGCTGGGCAAAGCTAGTGTGTGGTGGATATAGGTATTTCCTATGAATGTGGTGTCTGCTGGGTAACAATTTGCTACCTGCTGAGTAAAGACGGAGCCTGTTCATGAAGTGTCTGATGGGTGGAAGTGGTGCCTGCTGGGTAAATGTAGGCCCTGTGAGTGTGGTGCCTGCTGGGGAAGGCTCTTCCCTTTGATCATGGTGTCTTCTGGGTGACAGGGTTGCAGGTGGGCAAAGGTGGTCGCTGTGAGTCTGCTACCAGCTGGGAAAAAGAGAACCGTCTGTCCATGGACGTGGTTTACCCTAGTCAAGGGGCGTCTTTTGACGGGATAGTAAGGAAGATCCAAAGTTGGAAGCCTGAGCAGGCTCAGAAAATAAGTACTGGAGCTTCTGCCCTGGCTACACCTAGTTTCACATAGGAAGGTGCCGGAGGCTAACTGCAGAGCAGGCCGTGTAGGAGCCAGGCCAAGGACATCTTTCTCACTGTTCCAGGCCTCCTCCTCCAGCTCCCATTTTGGCAGCTGAACCTTCTAGAAGATTCTATGTCACTACCTCTGCTCATCAACATCCCCTCTCCCACCTGCCCCCACACTCCCCTCCTCCAAGAGTTGCCCACTTCAGCCCCTACTCTCTTCCTCCTGGGATCTTGAGTTTTCTCATAACATCCTGGGTCTGTCTGAGCTCCTCTCTCCATGATGCCCTCGTTTAGGGGTGAGTGTGCAAGTCCACTTACTGCTGGGAAAAACCGAGGTGCTGAGAGTTGCCTGGCCTACCTCGGCCTGAGGCTGCACCAAGCCTCAATCACCAAGACGACTTTTCTTCCACCGTTTCCCAGGCCCTCGCCATCAGGGGTGTGGACACCGTGTCCCGCAGCTCCTTGGAGATGTCCCCTTTGGCCCCAGTAACCACTCACGAGAGAAGGAGCAAGAGGAGAAAACGAATGTCTTCAGGGACAGAGGAGTGTGGGGAAGACAGGATCCCCAAGTCTGACTCGGAGGATGGTCCCCGAGCAGTGGTAATCCCCGGCAGGGGCTCTGGCCCTTTTAGGGTGGCTCTGGCATCAAAGGGTCATCATGTTAGGCCCCTGGCGCTGTCACAGCCCCCATGGTTTCTCCCCAAGGAGAGCATTCCTTGAGCCCCTCCCAGCTCCTCCTGTTTCCCATGGCCATTCTTGGAGGGGAAGGGGCCCTGGGCAGGGGAACCGGGTAGGTTCGGATGTTATGAAATCCCCAACCTCAGCTAAGTCCACAGCACTGGGGCTGGTACTGAGGGGCACCCTGTGGTGTGGATTGGTAGGAGCTCAATGATGTGCCCGAATGAGCGAGGGACACATCTTGACTGCACCAGGCCCTGCTCAGGCCAGGCCTGTCTGCACCACCTGGAGCCTTCTGTCCCCTTCTCCCCTGCCCAGCCTTGGTCCCACTTCAGGCCCAGATAAGGTTCAGTGTCAAAGCCCCAGAGGCACAGGCTTCAAGTGAGCAGAGATCCCAGATGATGCAGGATTGCGTCCCTCCTCTTAGCACCCCTGACTCAGCCCACCTAGTTCGTACATGGCCGACAAAAGCCATCAGTGCTCCAAGTTGAGCTGGGGCTGATGCCACGAGATAGGCTGGGAACACGTGAAGAGCTGTCTCAGTCCTGTCCCCTCTCTGCATGCCCTCAGAATCGCCTCAGCATCACCCACGGCCTCAGCAGAACCTCCTTGAAGCCACGCTCCAGCCGTGGGAGCATTTTCACCTTCCGCCGGCGAGACCTGGGCTCCGAGACAGATTTTGCAGATGATGAGAACAGCACTGCGGGGGATAGCGAGAGCCACCGCACGTCGCTGCTGGTGCCTTGGCCTCTGCGCCGGCCTAGTTCCCAGGGACAGCCCAGTCCAGGAACCTCAACTCTAGGCCATGTCCTCAATGGCAAAAGGAACAGCACCGTGGACTGCAACGGGGTAGTCTCCTTGCTGGGGGTAGGTGATCCTGAGGCCACCTCCCCAGGGAACCGCCGCCTCTGCCCTGTGATGCTGGAGCGCCCCCTGGACACGGTGAGCCCACCCCCCATGCAGTCCCAGGACAGGCCTGGTCTCCCAAACTGGTCACCAGTGCCAGGTCTAAAAATACTTGTCAAGTATTTACTGAGCTCCTGTTGTATACTAGGCTCTGGGGGTGAATGAGCTTACCAAAAGCCTCTCCTTCATAGAGCAGCCAGGCAGACAAAAGTCAAAGAAGAAAAATTTGTATATATGCGGATCTGGTATGTAATGGTGATAAACAGGGCTGATAGCTCAATATTTAGCAACTGGTAAGACATGAGCACTGAGATGCCCTGGTGGCCCAGGACCTGTGTGTGGCAGTTCTAGAGAGTTGCCGGATTGTGGACAGTCCACAGGGTCCTGAGAAAAGGGCTGGAGTTGCACGGGGACACTTATAGGGTTCTGGGTGACAATTATTCAGTGAGTTCAAAGTATTTTGATACTTGACAAACCAATAACTTAATATTGGCCCAAATACTAAGTGCTTTGGGAAGACAGAAGTGGGGAATGGGGAGAGGGAACCACCTCTCATTAGGAGGCATTTAAACAATGACCTAAAGGAGGCAGGGAGGGGAACCGGGTGAGCAGTGGTTAGCAGAGGGGTTAGCACACAGATTCTGGAGACAAATTGGGTTTGAACGCTGGCTCATCATTTACCAGCTGGATGGCTGTGAGCAAGTCACTTGATTTCTCTGTGCCTCAGGTCTCTTGTCTGTAAAGTGGATTTAAAATACCCACCTCAGGATCGATGCCAGGATGAATGCGCTTATAGGGGCAAAGCAGTCAGGATGAGCACGAGCACGTTGTGATAACGTCAGAGTCACGTACTGGGATTACATCATCTGGGGGAAACGTGTTCCAGGCCTAGAGAATAGCAGGTGCAAAGGCCCTGAGGTAGAAGCATGCCTAGCCTATTGGAGGAAATGCCATGAGGGCAGCGTGGCTGGAAACCAGGGAGTAAAGGGGGGAGGAGTTGGAGTGATTGTCAGAAAGGTGACGGGGAGGGGCCAGACCATGAGTGGCCCGTCAGAGCTTTGATCACTCAGTCAGCCGATCCCCTGACAGACTGATGACTGCCCAACCAGCCTTCCAGTGACCTTGCTGCCCCCTGCCCCCCTAGCACAATGCTCAGAGCAGCCCACCCAGAAATAGGGCAGACGTGCGGCTCAGACCCCTGAGGCCTGCAGGAGGCGGAGGAGGCCAGACTTTCTGAGGAAGCAGGACAGGACAGTGAGAGGGGGTGCTCACGGCCACATGGCCTGTTTTTCTACAGCTCAGCCACTTCCTCTAACTGTGGGACTTTGTACAGGTTAATTAATATCTCTCTGTGCCTCAACTTCCTCATCTGTTACGTGGAAATAAAATTAATTTCCGCATCAGAAGGTTGTGGTGAGGACTGAAAGAGTTACAACCTGTCTGGTGCTTGGCCAGTACTTGTCTCGTGCTCAAGTAATTATTATTATTACCTATAATTGTTACTGAGCAGGAAGGAATAAAGACTCCTGGGGCACACTGCAGAGCATCTGGGGCCCTCATGCTCCTCTGGAGTAGGGAGGCAACGAGAGGGTCCTGGAACCCACTGGGGCAGATGGTAGTTTCTGGGTGGTTCTGAGGGGGCCCCTGGGCATCACCTGGAGGGTGGGTGTCTGGCTTCCCAGGAACACCCAATGCCAGTGGCTGCAGGCTCTCCTGCAGGTCCCACCCTGGAGCCTCAGCCCTGTGGAATCAGGTCAGCAGCTGGAGCGCTAATAGAATTTCCTAATTTCATTAGGGAGAAAATCATCTCATTGTACTGCACATGTCGGGAGGAATCCAAGTTCAAACACTTCATTACTGGGAACTCTGACTTCACCCATTCTCACTTCTGTGGGGCCCATTTGTAACCTTAAAGGGATTAGCAGGCCAAGGGGGTTATTTGCAAAGTTAAAGGAATTAGCGGACCAAGATGGAGATATTGAAAAGTTAGAGAGGCAGCAGGCTGTGGGCCCCTGGAGATGCCTTCTCGGCTTCTACTGGGTCCCTGGTGACACTTCTGCCCAGTTCTAGTCTGAAGACAAAACGCAGTGTTAGACATGGGGTGGTTGCTTCCCCCATATGGGAAAAGGAGGGGACTGGCCCAACAAACAGCTCCCTTTAATTTATCCAAATTAGGGGGTGGAGAGTGAGGGTCTACTTTGCCTGCTGTCTGTGGGAGTGCCTGGCCCTGGAGGCAGCGGGGTCAGGGAGGTCACGGTGAACAGACTCTTCTTTCTCCTTTCCCCGTCACCTAACAAGTTAGGGACAGAGCTGGAACTTAACATAAGCCCCTGATTGCCAAGTATTTATCCATCCAACCAACATCTATCCGGTGCCAGCCGTCTGTGTTAGTGCCAGGCAGTGTTTAAGGCTCCAGGGATGTAGCAGTGAACAGAGCAGACAGCAGCTCTGAGCTCGTGGAGTTTATATTGTAGTCAGGGGGGCGGAGAGGCAGCTGATCAATATTTCCAGGTAGCAGTAAGGGTCATGTGATAGAAAGTTGCTAGGGGGAGGGCTGGGGATGGCAGCTACTAATTAAAATGCACGGGGAAGTCCTTCCTGTGGAGGTGACATGAAAATTGACCTGCAGATGATTTCAGCAAGCCAGCCATGAAGGTATGGAAGGAATGGTGTTTTAGGAAGAGGAAACAGCAAGTGTAAGGTCCCTGAAGAGGAAAAAGCTTGGCACGTTTACGGGATGAGAGGGCCGGGCAGGGCTGGCTATGGTGGAAACAGGAAGAAGGGATAGAAGATGAGTTTGAGGACTTAGGGTTTGGACCATGCAGGCGACAGAAAAGTTTGGATTGGCTCTGAGTAAGATGGGGGAAGTTGCTGATCAGAGGATTGTCATGATCTGATTTACTCTTTAAGGGAATCTTTCAACTGTGTAGAGAATATCAGGAAGAGAAGAGAGGCCAGTTAGGAGGCTGTTGCAGAAGTTTTGGGAAAGAGATGATGCTGGCTTGCACTAAGATGGTGTATCAGTGATCTGTTGGCAGAATACTGCTGTGTAAAAGCCACCCCTCCCCCAAGTCAGCGGCTGACAAGCCTTCATCCTCATGCTCACTTCTCTGCAGCTTGACCGTGGCTCGGCTGGTGTAGGTTGGGCTTGGCCGGGCAGCTCTGCTCCAGGCTGCACGTTCGCTTGGCTTCGCACTGTGGGTTTCTCCACACTCAGGGCTGCTCCTCTTTGAACCAGGCTGAAAGGGTGCCAGCTACCTGGGGAAGCTCCTTTCCTGGAGGATTTCTGGAGCACGAGAGCAAAGCCAACGGCACGAGCACATTTAAGGTGCTCCTGTTCACATCATGTCCCCTAACATTCCCTCGGCCAAAGCAAGTGTGTCATCAAAAGGACAGGGAGTTTTCCTTCAGTCACAGTAGGAGAGGAAAGAGTAAATATTTGCTGAGTGATAACCCAAACTGTCACAGATGGTAAAGGAGAGAAGTTGGGAGAATTTAGACATGCTTGTGAATTACACTGGCCAGATCTGTGGCTGCGTAGGACCTAGGATACTACTGTTCCGCCAGCTACCTCAGCCCTCTCGGGGGCCTCTGCTTGAATACTTCCACGACTGGGAGCTCACTACACAGCACTTCAGGGCAGTCCCACCAACTGCAAAGGCTGACCTTAACTTGAGCCCAGATCAATTGGGTACCCACCCCAGGCCCTGGCTCTGCCACCCTGGGTTGCCTGGGCCCATCTTTCCGCTGACCTACAGAGATTATAGAGCCTCATTCTCGCACACTGAATAGCCAGTGCCTTCATCAACCCCAGCCTGGGCTCATGGGCTGTGGTCATGCACGGCCGTGCTGATGTGAAGCCTCTGCGGGCGCCCTGATTCTGTGGGGGGCTCTGAGTAAGCCGAGAGAATGTCTGCTCCATCAGGACGTGCCCCATCTCCGTCCGCAGGCCTGCTGCTTTTCCTTACAAATGTGATGCAGGCACGCTGCAACAAAGCCAGTGATGCAGGAGTAAAAGTGCTTCCCTTTCCCTCTCAATCCTGTTCCCCAGTTATAACCACTTGAACAGTTCAGTGTATATCTTCCAGATGTTTTTCTTGTTTTTTCATCAAACTATTTGCTTGGAAGTGCTCCCATGGGAACACAAGTTGAACGGCCTTGTTCTCTTTACTGTTTGTGTCGGAGTCCAGAGCCAGATTGTGCCCATAATTGATTTTAATATTCTTCCTATTGATCAGTTGTTTTGTTTTTATGGTGGTAGGAGCAATGCTGCAATGAACCTCGTTGCATACGTATTTTTGGTGCATGTGTATAATTATTTATGAAGTTACATTATTAGATGAGGAATTGCAGAGCTGATTTAAAAGTTTCTTGGTAGATATAGCCAAACTGTCTCCTCAAAAGCTCCCACCGGCTATGTCTAAGCATTGTGTTCTGTGCCTCTGTTAATGCTACCTTAAAGCGTGGTGGGTATTTTTCAGCTTCTTTATGCTCCTGACTCTAGGGACCTTGGGGTCAACTAAGACTCCCAGATCACTTTTGCATGTACTAATGTATGTGACAGCATCTGGTTAGTAGAACTTTGTACATGTCATTTCCTGTCCACACTCAAGAATCACCACTGATGAGAGACGGTGAAGAAAAAAAGAGAATAAAGGAGATAACGATTGGCGGGAGGGGTGAGGGGAGTTGTTCACTGGGAGGGAGTTGGGAGCAAAGGTGCCCAGTGTTCCATCAAGACCCCCATCGTGTCCCCCTTTGACCTCACCAACCTGAGTCTGGGCTGGCTGCCCCTGGTCCAGCTGGAGCCGTGTCCCAGGCTGATGCATTATCTCCCGGTTACCCCCAGACCACACCGTCGGAGGAGCCAGGCAGGCCCCAGATGCTGACCCCCCAGGCTCCGTGTGTGGATGGCTTTGAGGAGCCAGCAGAGCGGCAGCGAGCCCTCAGCGCGGTCAGCGCCCTCACCAGCGTGCTTGAAGGTCAGCACCCCAGTGTCATACAGACACTCCCCACTTCCAGTCTAAGCACCCTCACAGTTACCCCAGCCTGAGCCAGGCACGCACCGGCTGTTAGGCCTGCCTTGGACATCCCCACGGTCGTCCCAGGCTTTTCTGTCTGTTGCCTGTCCTAGGTGTCTTTTCATCTGTTCCAGCTTGTTTTGTCCTGGGCGTCCTCTGGATCCATGTCTGTTTCTTCCAAACGTGGCCATAGCCATCCTGGCCTGTCCCGAGTGCTTA